GGGGTGCTGCGGCCCGTGCCCTTCGGGAAGGGTCAGAGCAGGAGCTGGGGGGAGAATAGATTTAATCTAGGCCGGACTTTTAAAAGCTTGAGGCTGGAGCTGCCAGCCCTGCCCAGAGCCCTTCTCTGCGGCTTCTTGTTTAGCAGATCGTTTTCTGCCATTGAAAGCGAAGATGCAGGATCCGCAACGCAGTGTCTGCACGGGCAGCGTCCTGGCAAGGGCCTTTCTTGGTGCCTGGTTGATTTTTGAGGTTCCTGTCGGACTCTTCCTCCCCCGATGACACAGGGGAGGTGACTGAAAAACAGGGCCACAGGGCTGTGTGTGTGCAGACAGGCACACAGAGAGTGTGATACAGAGTCTGTGCTGCTTCCTCTAGCTCAGTTTGTTGTGTTGCAGCACAATAAATAGGCAGCAGGGACTGTCTCCTGCTGAGGATCTGAGATGGAGTGAGCAGAATTCCTCCTGGGTGAGCTGGGAGATTGCCCAGGATCTCCAAACAGTGTGAGGCAGTCAGGCGGTTTTCCTAGTGTGACCTCCAGCAGTTCCTACTTCCTGGGGTGACAATGAACCCTAGGTCCTCTCTAGGGCAAGGATCTGAACCCTTTCATCTCTTCTGCAGATCACCTTGAGTGATGCCAAAGAAGTTCCAAGGGGAAAACACCAAGTCGGCTGCTGCCCGCGCAAGGAAGGCTGAGGCAAAGGCAGCAGCCGATGCCAAACGGCAGCAAGAGCTGGAAGATGCCTACTGGAAGGATGAAGACAAACACGTGATGAGGAAGGAACAGAGGAAGGTGAATGGCTGGTCAGGGAGAAGGGGAGCTCCAGGCTTGCTTAGAAGGAGTTGCTTCTCCTCTGCCATCCCCACATATTGTCCTCAGCTTAGTTTTGGGTAGAAGAGCTGGAACTAGTGTCTCCTCTGGGAGCTAAAACAAGCCAAGTGTGGGAGTAAGTGTAAACTGCTGTGTAATTCCAAAATGTGGTGGATCTTAGAGCTTCCCAAGGGAGGCAGGAAAAGCTTTATTGTTGGAATGACTTTAAAACTGAACTCAGGAAAAGATCAGGAACTCTGCTGGGGGCTCGATTCTTGAGCAAGCAGTTCTTTAGCTTGGTTTTCTTTTCCTTTCTTAACTGGTCTTTGATTCTTCTAGAAGGAAGAAGAAATCAGCAGGGTTAAGGGTTCCAAAGCTTTTTGTTCTCCCCCCTCACTTGGTGTTACATCAGGACACATCTCTCTTAAAGGGTTCTCTCCAGTTTGCTCTTACCAGCTTGCTCCCCCTGTTAACTTCCATGTTCAGTAACAGCACACTTCCATGCCCTTTCGTGGCTTCTTTGGGGTTTGATGTTGTCCTGCACCATTGATAGATAAACTTACCTTCTGGCTGGGTGGAAACAAACTGTTGGTGATGACTTTGCTGCCTCTTATGAAGTGATTTGTTTCCCCTTAGGCAGACAGGGCTTCTACCAACCACATAAATGGGGTTTTGGGGGTTACTGGGTTTGTGCTGCTCTGAGCTGGGGGCTGCCTGAGCTTGGTGTGTTGGTGCAAACACACTGGCTGGGCAGCAGGAGGCCAGCGTGTCCCTGTGACCCTGTGAGTTCACCCCGATGTGTGTCTTGATGTTTGGCATTCAGAGTCCCCTGTGCTGTTCCCCATCCCAGTCCTGGAATGCTGCCTAATTACTTCCTGGAACAAGGAGTTCTATTGCTCTCCTTAAGACTTGGCCAACAGTGACCTATCGGACTGGGCTTCCAAAGCAGCCTCCTGCAGGGCAGGAGCATGCAGGCTGGAGAGGGGGCCTGTGTCAGGAGCTGGAATTGCTAACTGGAAAACCAAGCTCCATCCCAGAGCTCCAAACTGGGCTTTAGAGAAGCCAGTGAGGCAGTTTGTACTCGAGAGGGATCATCCATCCCTCTCCCTGCATCAGCAGAGCTGTGGTCTCTTATGTCTGAATTTCACCTGAGCACTGGTTTAGTGTGTTGGCTTCCCACAAATCCCTCACAGCAGTGAAATTCTCTGCTTTGATACAGGAAGTTCTCCTGCCAGGAAGGCTCCGTGTCAGTTGCGCCTGCACTGGAGCTCTTCCTGCCTAAGCTGGGTCTTTGTGTGGCTGAGCAAGTAGCCAACACACGAATGACGGGTGAAACCTTCCTCAGGTGCTTCTCCCCTGCCATCCAGCTGGAATATCCCCATGGAGAATGGAAGAAGCCGCCTGTGCCCCATTGCAGGGATGGGATGCGTGGCTCGGATTGTAAATGACTTTCCATCCCCATCCTAGAGAGGGTAGAAACCAAACTGTTCACAGGAGTCAGGCTTCCCTGGAGGAGTAACTACCTTGCGGGTGGTGCTGGCATGGGAATAGCGCTGCTGGCCGCGGCCATGTGCTGCAGCAGAGGCTCAGCTGCCGCCCCGGGAGGGGATGGTGCTGTGTGGAGGAGGATGCTCCCAGCAGCTCTTCCCACCTCTTCCAGCTCTTCCCCAGCTCTTCCCCAGCTCTCCGGGCGATGGCGGTAACACGCTAACAGCGCCCCCAGGATTCCTGCACTGCCAACGGGCAGGAGGGGCTGGAAGCCTTTGGGATGTGCTGAGGCCAAACCCTGCATTTGGGGTCTCTTTGAACGCCACTCCCCACCCCATGCTCTGAGAGCAGCCTCTGGAGCTGAGCCCTGCTACCAGGGGATGATGCTCATTTGCTGGCTCTGTGATGCATAAAGGAACATCCAGGCTCTGCGAGGTGTGATTCCTCCTCTGGCACCTTCCCTGCAGAGCTCCAGCTGGAAAGCACAGGATCTGCATCTTCCTTGCTGGAATTTCAACCTGGGTAACTGTTTTTCTTTCAGCATTTGGGTGTTTTCATCCTTTCTGGCCCTTCCCACTTCTCCTGTGCAGGGCCAGATCCTCCAGCTCAGCACCATGGTCCTCAGCAGCCTGATCCCAGCAGGGTTTTCTCTGTGTAGAGACACCTAAAGTGTGTCTGGTGGTGGAACAGCCACAGGTACATTGTGTGTCCTGGGGAAGCTGCTTGGAATGGTGACAAATAATTACATCTGCTGGAGCAGTCAGACCTTCTTCTGTCTGTGACCTTGGGTACACATGGGAAGATCTCACTGGCTGGGACGCAGCCAGATTCCCAACCTCCTTCCCAAACTCAGTGGGAATGCTGAAGGGAGAGCGTGTGGGTGATACAGGAGCAAGAAGACCTTGTGTGTGCAGGATCTGGGGAAAGATTCCAGTTCAGTGCAGGGTGAGTAGTGCTGGAAGGGTGCAGGATGGAGCAGTGACTCCTTTGGCATCTCGTTTCTGCCCTTCTCATTCCCTTTAGCTGCGCTCAGAGGCTGTGGGGCTGCAGCTCGCAGTGGCGCAGGTGGGTGGGTGCTGACTTTTGCTTCCCCCTCCTCTGATTCAGTGTGGAATTACTCAGCTGTGAGCAGCAGCTCTTGTTCACATCGAACGCAAGACAGGGCAAGCAACTGTTCTTCCCTCTTTGGAGGACGTCTGCGTGGTACCAGGTACCCAATACTGAACTCTGATGGCTCAAATGAGTAACACGGGGCAGAGATGTAGTGGGGAGGGGTTCACACCCCAGAACCAACTTCCTCAGCCTCCAGGATCCCTTGGATGCTTGCTGTGGGCAGTGGAAAGAGCGTGTCTGATCTCATCTCAAAGCTCTGGAGTGCCTCAGAGAGCCTGGTGAGCGCTTTGCCACATTCCAAGTCATTTGTGCTCCACTCATTTTGTGACTGAATCATCTCTTTGCATTGCTTTTCCTTTCTGCCCTGTAAGGAGCAGAGTGCTCTCCAGCCTTCCTCAGGCCCTCACACCGATGGGCAGTGCTCCTGCTTCAGTTGGCCACTTGCTCTCAAAGCCACATATGTGAGACCTTGTTCTCTGTCTGCCTAGCTAAAGCTCTTCTGAATTGCCCTGTCAGTTCTATGCAAGGCTGGAAACTCCCGTTTCAACACACAAATCCTTGGGAACAGAAGTGTCCAGCTAAAGGAATCTCCTCCTATAAGTGCAGCAACATTGAGACAGAAAATCATTCATATCTTTTCCAATTTTTCTCATAGCTTTGTGGTGTGTTCCACTTGGACAAATCCTCACCTCTCTTTCATCAGGACTTTTAAGCTACTGCATAAAGGATTAGCTTGGTTTGGCCCAACCTGAGATGTCTTTTCAAAGCTGACAGCTTCAGGCCCCTGGGGCTTTGGGCTTGGGGAGCAGGAGGCTCAGGGCTGCTGCTTTGTAGCCCTGCAGATGGTGCAGAGCAGACCTGGATGTGAGAGGCCATGGGGGAAACCTGAGTGTGTAGATTTTACAGGTCTTGTGACATGTGAGGAATGGTGCCAACTTACTGCCTGTGAATAGCAACTAGGGTGTAAATGCCAGAGAGCAGCTCACCCTGGAGGAGAGGAGTCACCGGAGGTCTCCCGCAGCACACAGGGCAGGAGGAAGCCTCTGTGACCTATTTGTGCCTCTTTCCCCTTGGCCAAGTGGCTCTCTCCTCTTTGGAGATGGCAGCAGAGCATTACCCTGGAATCTCTGCTGTCAGATGTTTCTCAGCAGGGGCTGTGTGATGCTGAGCTGGCTGCAATGGAGGACAGGGCTCTTTGTGTACTAAATGGGTCAAAGAGAATCTTTTCTAACTATAAATAACATTGCTGTTCCAAATTGGCTTGCTCCCTTCCCTTAGGTCCTTAGTACTCGTGTATCCGCTCCTTATGTGGCTCCTGAATTATTCAGGGTACAACCACACCTGGAGCCTTGCTGCGCTCACTGTGCCAGCACCTTCTCTGGGTTACCTTGTTCATCACCCCTGAGCTTCAGAGCTGGGACGTTTTTACTAGCCCATGTTCCAGGCATGATACCAGTACCTGGAATACACAGTGCTGCTTCTCTTGCATGTGCTTTACATCTAACTCAATGGCTTATTCCATCGGATTGCTGGACCTTCAGTGAGTTCTGGATCCCTCCTTTTTTGGTACATTAAACTCTCCAGTTTGAGGAGTTTTTCTGCACTCTTCCTAAAAAGAGGTCACCTGAGGCTGGTGGCCAAGCTGGAAATCCCATCTGGAGCTGGAGCTGTGCTGAGTGAGGTGGGCAAAGCACCCTGGTGGCTCTTGCTCAGGCATATCCCTGTGTATCCATTTTAAAGGCAGGGTAAAGGCAGCTTTCCCCTTCTTCTTATGGTACCCTTCCTATTCAGGAGCGGCCAAAATCCCTCCTGATCTGGCAGCCTTCTTTACTAGAAGAGGGAGAGGCCCCACAGGAGAGCATTGGGCAGGGGAAGCTAGAGCAGGTGGCTCAAAGAAGCGAGTTTGCACTTGGAAATCACACCCGGATGCTGTGGCTCAAGGCACCAAGCACTGAATGACCAAGACTTTGAAGGCTGCCACTTATAATAAAAGCTCCATCCCTCCAAAGGCTGTTTTCCCATGCTGGCCCCAGCTGCTCCCAGTGGTGCTGGGTGAGCTTTTCCTTGCCTTCCCTTTGAAAGGCCTGGTCCCTGATGCAAACGACAGCAGCCTGAGGGGGTGATTTGATTCAGCATTTGTAGGCTTTGATTCTGGTTTTTACAAGGCTTGCTTTAAGCTCTTGAGCTGTGGAGCAACTTAGGGGGTTCTTTTGTTTCATAGAGTCTCAATGCCCAGCCTTGCTCATGTGTCTCAAGTGGGCCCTACTCCAGCATGCATAATTCTGCTCCTGCTCTGCGGACATGGATGGCAGCGGGTTGTGTTACTGCTGGGCTGGGTTTGCTGCCTTTGAGTAAACCCATTCCATTAATGCTCCAGCAGTTCCTTGAGCCATCACAGTGAATAATGGATGAGAGCCAGAATTAAGTGTCCATGCAACTAACTGAGGTACGAAATGCTCTTCAGCCTGTGACACTGCACTTGTTTTCTTTTCTGCAGGGGAGAGAAGGAAGAAAACTCAAAGCCAAAGTGCTGAAAGCCCTTAAGGGCCTGTTGCATGGTCTTGTCAGCCTCTTCCCCGGGGCCTCAGAGGGCAAAGTGGCTCTTAACCTCCTTGTGGAGCACTTGAAAATCCCCACAGGAGCTGCACTGCTTGTTGGATTTGGTCTCCCTGTCTGCCCTGAGCCAGATCTGAGGGTGAATTCAGCCTCTTGACTGCCTTGTCTCAAACAACTGCTGAACTTTCAACCTCTGACCACTTCTTAAAGTGGAGAATTTAATGTGATTGTCAGCGGGGTTGTTTCACAGTCCTGCCATCCCAGGGAGCCTGTGCGTGGGTGCAGACAGGGCAGGGAATGATTATTCCAAAGGGGCAAGCTATCACTGTCTCAGTGCGGGGAACCAGCCAACATCCCCTCTGATAGGAGGAGGTCAGTGCTGCATTAGCTACAGAAGTGAGGTGCCTGTTCCTGCTCTAGCGGGGTACCCTGCTCCTGTAAGAGCTAGTTGGATCCCTCCACCCTATGGAGGTGTAAGGGT